GGTAAATACCTAGGAGTGAAATTGCTGGATCATATGGAAGCTCTATCTTTAGTAGGTTGAGGAATCTCCACGCAGCTTTCCATAGTGGTTGGACCAGTTTGCACTCCCACCATCAGTACAGGAGAGTTCCTTTTTCTCTACATCCTCGCCAACATTTGTTGCTGCTAGTTTTTTTTTTTTTTTTAATATGTGCCATTCTCACTGGTGTGAGATGGTATCTCATTGTAGTTTTGATTTGCATTTCCCTGATTGCAAGTGATGTTGAACATTTTTTCATATGCCTGGTGGCCATTTGTATTTCCTCTTTGGTGAAGTTTCTATTTAGCTCTTCTGCCCATTTTTTTTTAATAATAAATTTTATTTTTTTATTCCCCATACAATTTCAACCCCCCCATTCCGACCCCAATCCCTCCCCTCCCGCCCCCCACCCCCAAAAGTGTCTTTGGTTCATAGTTGACAGAATTATTTTCTTTGGTTTTGTTGAGTCTCATCAGCTCTTTGTAGATTTTTGGGATCAGTCCTTTATCATTAGTGTTGTGTGCAAAAATGTTCTCCCAGTAGGTGGGGTTTCTCTTTGTTTTTGTTACTGTCTCTTTTGCTATGCAGAAGCTCTTTAATTTGATGTAGTCCCAGCTGTTGATTTTTGCCTTCACTATCACTGCTTTGGGTGATGTGTCTGTAAAGATGTCTTTGAGGTGCATGTCATGTAGTGTTTCGCCTATATTTCCTTCTATATATTTTATGGTTTCAGGTCTTATGTCTAGTTCTTTAATCCATTTTGAGTTGGTTCCTGTGCATGGTGTGAGGTAGTAGTCAAGTTTCATTCTTCTGCATGTAGTGACCCAGTTTTCCCAGCACCATTTATTGAACAAACTTTCTTTGCTCCATTGCATATTCTTTGCTCCTTTGTCAAAGATTAGTTAACCGTAAATATTTGGGTTTATTTCTGGGTTTTCTATTCATGCCATTGGCCTGTGTGTCTGTTCTGTTTCCAATACCATGCAGTTTTGATTATTATGGCTTTGTAGTATAGTTTGAAATCTGGGTGAGTGATGCCTCCATTCCCTTATTTTTTTTTTCCAGGAGGGTTTTGGCTATTCGGGGTTTTTCCTGGCTCCATATGAATTTCATCAATATTTTTTTCTATTTCTTTGAAGAATGACATTGAAATTTTAATTGGAATAGCATTGGATCTATAGATTGCTTTTGGTAGGATGGCCATTTTGATAATTTTAATTCTTCCTATCCATGAGCAGGGGATGTCTTTCCATTTCTTTGTGTCTACTTCTATTTCTTTTAATGGGCTCTTATTTTTTTTCAACATTTATTTTTTTTTTATACAAGAACCAGGGCACAGACTAGATGCTTGGAAGGGTGAGAACATTCACCGTTGACAGAGAAGGGAACAGAACAGGCAGACTGATGAAATACACTGCTGAGGGGAGCAGCAAACAAAACAGGAGAGGTCTGATTCAGCATGTGGGATTCTCACCAGCTGGCTGGGATCAAACACACGCTGCAGAAGCTTCGGACAGCTTCACAGCACAGCACTCAACTGCCTGTGCCACCAGGGAGGCCCATATTTCTGCTGTTATTTTTATTATTTCCTATCTTCTGCTGGATTTTAATATTGTTGTTCTTTTTGTAGTTCTTTGAGATGGGCGATTACATTGTTTGTTTTTGCAGGGGAACTCTTTCTTGTTTCTTAATGTGGGCCTGTATTGCTATATACTTCCCTTTTATTACTGCTTTTGCTATGTCCCATGCATTCTGGAAAGTTGTATCTCCTTGTAATTTGTCTCAGTGTATCTTTTACTTTCTTATTTGACTTCCTCATTCATCCAGTGGTCTTTCGGTAGCATATTGTTCATTTTCCATGTAATAAGGTGGCTCCTTGCTTTCTTTGCATAGTTGATTTCTAGTTTGATGTCTTTATGGTCAAAGAAGGTAGTAGGTATGATTTTGATCTTCCTATATTTGTTGATGTTTTTCTTTTTTCCTAGTACATGCTCTATCCTGGAGAAAGATCCATGTGCACATGAGAAAAATTTGCATTCAGGTTTATTTTGGGTGCAGTGTCCTATAGATATCTGTTAGGGCCATGTGGTCTAGATCTTTATTTAGGGCTATTGTGTCCTTGTTTATTTTCTGTTTTGTTGAGCTGTCTATTGGTGAGAGCAGGGTGTTGAAGACTTCTACTACATATGTATTTTTTCTGATGTCTATTTTCAGAGATGATCACAATTGTCTAGTATATTTTGGTGCTCCCTCATTTGGTGAGTGTATATTGATGAGTGTTACATCTTCCTGGTTAATTGTCACCTATATCATTATATAGTCTCCATTTATATTTTTTGTCACCTTTTTTAGTTGGAAATCTATTTTATGTGATATAATTATGGCTGCCCCTGTCTTCTTTTGGAAAACTTTGTTTGTAGATTTTTTTCCAACACTTTACTTTCTATATTGATCGTTTCCAGTTAGGCTTGTTTCCTGGAGGCAGTGGAAAGTTGGATTCTGTTTTCTTATCCAGCCTTCTACTCTGTGTCTTTTTCTTGGTGAGTTTAGTCCATTTAAGTTTAGGGTGATACACTGAAGTCCCTACTTGGTATTTTGTTCATCATTTCTTAGTTCTAATTAGCACCTTGTTAAATTCTTCCTGTTCATTCTGTTGATTCAGACTATAAGGCTTCTTGTCATATTTTTTTGGAAAGGAGGTTTAGTAGAAGCAAATTTCCTAAGATTTTGTCTGAGAAGGTCTTCATTTTCCCTTCAAAGAGGAAGGAGCTTCCTCAAAGAGGTTTTACAATCAAATTCTCTGAAAAACTCCATGGCTGTCCTGATACTGAGACTCACTCTGGAGTTCAGAACACATTGTTTGAATTTTGTTCATCTAAATGGAAACTTTTCAATGAGATGAAATACATAACTAGCAAAAATAAATGTAATATGTAACAAGTAAGAAACTAGAAATATTTTATAAATGTTTATGCTTTCTCTTGTGCTCCAACTTGTTCTGTGTCATTCCCTTCCCATATCAAGGTTTAAGCATACTATTTCAGAGACCACTAGGCTAATGGTCTTAGCCTGAAACTACAAAGATATTTAAAAATATATATATTCAGTTTTTTTTGAGTGGCTCTGATAAACTTATGGATATTTTTTGGTGAATTCAAAGTTTGTCATTAATGGTACCACAGTTTCTATATCATCAAATTCTCACATGGGGACTTTTGCTTTCCCATTTCCTTTTTTTTTTTTAACTATCTCTCTTTATATGAGAATTGATAAACCATAATTGTTCACCCAATCCCATTTCCTTTTTTTTTTGTTTAACTATCTCTCTTTATACGAGAATTGATAAACCATAATTGTTCCCCCAATTCACTCTTTTTAAAAACTTTCATTGATGTAACATTGCACTATAACATTTTATAGGTTTCAGGTGTGTATCGTTATAAATCAACATGTCTATATAATACAATACTCTCATCACTGAAAATCCAATTCCATCCTTTACACCCCTTTTACCTGATTTACACATACCCATTCCCTCTTTCCTCTGGCAGCTACTAATTTTGTCCTGAAGTCTAAAAGTTTAAACTGTATGATAACCATATTTTAATTAACATCCTCATGGTCTCTCAAAAACAAGATTGTTTAACGATTATCATTACCACAATTTACCACTAGTTCATGACAATATTTTTATTCAAAAGAACACTGCAGAGGCTCAGCAACTTGATGCTCAGTAAGGTGTTTTTCAGTCTCCTACATTTAGTGATGGTGTTATCACAAGACATTGAAATTCAAAGAAAATTTTAGAAAGATTTTTTTTATACTGAGATGAAATCTAGTCTCTAGACACGTATCTTTCCTTTGGTCTTTTAAAATTCCTACTATTCACTTATCAATTCCACATTTGACATGGATTTGAATCTCTCTCCTCTGATTATAAATGAATTTTCCAAAGTTATTCCAAAGGCATAACATAAGAAACCGATCAAAATTGTACAGATGTGGTGAAGCTAAATATCTTGAACCACTATAGAGACCATAAAATTTTCTTTGATCATTTCCAATTATAAACACAGAAGATATACCTCCAGGAAAAGAACTGGGTTTCTGGGGGACAGTGGTGGGAGGGAGACTTAATTTATACCTTTCTGAATTCTGAACATATATGTAAAATTATGTAAAAATGACGATTACCACATATGAACTATCTCCAGGAAAAAAAAATCAGGTTTGCTTGCTCATTAAAGTATTTGTTATAAGAAAACAACTATTTGCCACTGTATTAGGTTCTCTGGAGATGCCCAAAGAGAAATAAGGTAGAATCTTGTCCTTGAGGAATTTACAATTCAGTTGGGAAGAATGCCTGTACTCTGTGCTACAGGCAAGAAAAAGGTAAAATGGAAGTTGATAGCAGACAAATGAGAGGGAATACAGGAAGGATGGCAATATTTCAAAGAGTAATATTTTACCTGTAGGGAAGAAAAAAAAATAAGGTTTGGGGAGAGGCAGAAGCTAAGACAGGTTAAGTGTATAAAATTTTCTACCAAAGCATTCTTAGCATAATAGAAGAATAAACACATTATCCAGGAAGGGTACCTTAATAGGCCTAAAACATTTTTTGAGTTTGATTCTTATCTTAAAATGTTATTCAAATTTTATATTTTGCTTTTTAATAAAAATCATACTTTAATAATATAAAATGTTTTATATTAATATCAAATAGTATAAAGATTCTAGGAAGATGCACATTATTTCACTCAAGGATAAGATTACCCCAGTTTGAGAAGCATGAGCTAAGCAAAAGAGAGTTATTATAAATTCTTAAGCATTGAAAAATCATGATAAAAACAGTGTTTCTGTAAAGTTACTCTCAAAACTGTACAAGAATAACTGGAAGGGGTGAAAAAGAGAAGAGGTGATGACTCAAAAAAAGAGTAGATGGAGGAAGGTGTGTCCCAGAAAAGAGGCACATTGATGCTTACCTGATCCAGCATTTTTGCCATCTCCTCCAATGAGTGGGACTGTAATAGCTGCAGAGCCCCCATCTGCAGGCAAAGTAGTATACACCATGGGCAGCGACTGCACCACCACTGGGATGGTCTTCAGGCTACCCAGCTTATCTGGCAGACTGACTGAGGGGATGGTGTGAATCACATGTAAGATTTGCTGGCTACCAGTGCCCTGATGGGCCAGGATAGAGCCTGGAGTCAGAACTGTAGGGATATTTGCCGAAGTGCTTGTGTCAGATGTTGAAGTGGATACTACAAGGGTCTGGGGAGCAGGATGTGACTTGAGAGGACGTATTGGAGCCTGCAGCATGCTAGCAGGTTGGAGAGGAGCTTTTGGCTTGTGAAAGGAGAGGTCGACTGGTTCCACCTGGGGCAGGTTGAAATCATTAGCCAGAAGTTCTTCTGGGGGCTCAATCTTGATGTCATTAAACAGTGCTGGGTTCTCCATAGAGTTGGCATCCAGGAGTGGTGGAGATGTCATATTACCTCTGTCTGCTGTCTTAGGGGAATCTCTAATCTGAACAGAGCCAGTAACCTAATGAAATAAATAAGTAAAACAAATGAGAGGTGCAAAAATAATCAGTGTTAGTACCCTGAAGAAGAATCATGTGAACAATGAAAGAAAAAAACCCCTCTATATTTACTCATGGGCAGAATATACAGAGGTAAGATAAATGAGACAGGAGCACATTTAAGAAGAAAAAGGAAGGTAAACTTTACTAAGCAGCAGTAACAGGTCTTGTATCAAACAACTAGTAGAAATTATTTTGTTTAATCTTTATAATAATCCTGTGAGATTAAAGTCAACACATTATGAATATGCACTATACACACTGTGCTAAGCCCAGTGCAGTTACATATGAATAAGATACAGTCATAACGATAGAATAATATGAGTAGTTTATACCACAAAAGTGGTGGGCTAGCCATATAAGCAAGGTATTTTTGAAAAAGAAAAGGCAATGATTCATTCTGTCTAGACAAGATCAGGGAAGGCTTCAAGGAGGACATGATATGATTCGCTAGGCGGAGAAGGGGTAATAAAGATATTTCTGTCTGCAGAGATATGACAACAGGCAATATGTCTAGGTAATAATGATGTAGTACAATTATGTGGGGGCTCCTGCTCCCCCAGAGAGCAAAGTTACCATTGCCACAATTTATCGTTAATATAAGAGTAGCTGTACTATGAAAGTACATAAGTCCCTCTTCCCCTGTGTGCTGGACTGGACAGTCAATGACGGGTAAGATCAGAAAAGATTTCTGACGACCTAAGACAGGCACAGTCCCCAAGGGGATTTTAATGGTTCCCACCTTTTACCTATGGAAAATAACTGATGGAAAACAAGTCTGGGAAATGTTGAGACACAACCAAGGCATGTTGTTAATCATTAATAGTCTAGGTCTTGTACTGAAGAAATTCAATTATGGTGAGAGAAACTGGTTCTATGACTTCTAGCAAATGTGTAACCAAGTAGAACTATAGGAATAATAAATAGTACTAGAAAGAATAAAAATATGATGTTAAAGATATGACAAAAATGTATAATCATAGTAAGAAATCATAATGTTAAAGAAAGCCTCCACTGGGGGTGTTACGATGAGTTCTTGATTCCTTGATAAATAATAGACAATATGTTATGTTATTCATGTTTCACTGCATTTACGATAAATCTGAGGTATGATTAACCACATACCGTGAAAAACATATTGAGGTAATGACTTTGGAAATGTATAAAAAGAGAAGGCTGATTCCAATAAAGCGCACTCAGATTTTCACTCTCCCTTGAGTGTGTCTGTGTGTCATTTCTTTCGTCCCTCGCCCTAATTCCTTCGACCACCTTCTGCTCGTTCTCACTCAACCCCTGCGATTGTCTCAATCTCCCGCCACCGCTGGGCTGGTCCGCGGCACAATTAGATGTATTATATTCTGAAAAGAATTGTATTTTAATTGAAATCACATTGCATTTTAATGTATATAAATTTTGGGTGTGCATTATTATATGTCAACATGTGTATATACCACATTAAGTTCACCACTAAAAGTTCAATTCTATCCCTTCAACATAAATTTGACCCATTTAAATTGAGTTATTTTAAAAACACTAATGAACGATCACTTCAAAGATTATACATAAATTAAGATAAAACCTCAACATAATTTAAAACTTGTTAAAAATTTCGTGAATTCAAAATTCAGGGACATTGGGAAATGTATATGCCTCTCTGGACCTTAAAGATAGCCTCAGAGATGATACTGTTTTAGCCACCAAATAAACTAGTAAAAATTGTATATCAGGATTATATTTTGAGTTATGGGAATTTTTAATTATGAGGTGTTCAGAAATGCATTCCTTACACAAAATACAACTACCCTTTATTTTGTATATTTTATTTTGTATGTGAAGGAAGGTGGATTTTGAGGAAAGGCTAGGTGATAATTGTTTTGAGGAAGGGAGTGATGTGCATGAAGCTACTTATGTGAGATTTAACTAGTTTCTCAGGAAGTGTAGATTGAAGGAAGAATTAGACTGGATTCAAGGAAACCAAAAGGGAAGACAGAGGAAAAAATATTGTGAGACATTTATGAGAAAGTTAGAAAAGCGTGAATATTGATTGGATATTGGATGAAATTAAGAAATTATTGTTAGCTTTTAAAGACTTGATAATGACATCATGAGTGTGATTTTTAAAAATTTACGTGAGAGTAAAAAGGGCCTGAAATCACAGAATGATGAGAGGCAAGGAGAGGTAGTGTCTGCTTGCTTTGATTTTGTTTAAAAGATCTTCAAATATTACTGGGAGTTAGCAAAGGCACCAAGAAGCATCTATTATTTATCCCTAGAATTTACCCAGATAGTTATCTGTTTTCTCCCTCTATGCTATGACAATTGATTTACAAACCCTTCACCCTAACTCAGGTCTTGTTCCTTTCAATTTGCTCCTTCTGTGAGACATCACTTCTGTGAATTATGCTGCTATTGCAAATACTTCTATTAGGTAAGAGGCAGCAGAATCCTGTTGGTTGGGAGGAGAATAGGGAGAGGAAGTTGTCAAGATTGCCTCTGTTGAACTTAAACATTCCTTGCTCTCTGAAGCCCCCAAATCAACTTCAGCACCTATTTTTTCTACATTCCTCAATTACCTCTCTACTTGTCTAGCTTGCTTCCCATATTAAAGGGGCACAATCTCAGGAATCTCCAAGGAAAAGTAGGAAGAAGTGTATCTTTCTATAGTCTCTATCAAGGTTTTCAATAACACTGAGAAATAGAATTAAACAGAAAGCATAAGGAGAGGATAGGTATGCTATCATTTTCTATAAAAATTAAGAGCATGAATGAAGATATAGAAATAGACTGAACTATTCCAATATACATTAAGGAAGGATCTAGCTAAATTTTGGGTCTTCCCAGACTCTATGATTTAGGTACAGAAACCTAAGTAAGATGAAGTCCTGAATTCTAAATATAAAATGGAGAATACTTTGGCAAACTTGCTGTCTTTTGCTAAACAGAGGCCATATCCAAGATGCTAAGCCTTGCCTAGAATAATGCTACTAGTTCAAGACCTTGTGATTAGCTTGTGCTCAATCTACAGTTATTCACATTATTGGAAAAAAAAAACATATTATTCAGGAAAATCCAAAATGGAAACTGACAAATGAAAATACAAAAACTGAAGAACATATAGACTATCATTATTGCCTTAATGAGATAAGATGTTACAGGGCCCTGGTTCAGCAAGTCATCATGAGTCATCCTTCTATACACTAAGCCTACTCTGTGGTTTACCAATTCTTAATAAAAACCTTATTCATAAAATACTTCAGACATTACTCCTCTTTGGCCATCATCACAACTCTTTGAAAGAAATGTTAGAAGACCATTTGTTTGTGTTTTATTGTTTTAACAGTTGTCTCCTCAAAACATATCACACATTTCCTTTACAATTACCTATTATAACTAAGTGAATACATCATGGTGCAAGTATTTTCTGGGTATGAATGCTGTTTTCTGCAAGTAAGCATTCTCCAGAAAATGGACTATGCTTAAAAGCAGCTCTCAAGGTTGACCTTAATAATTCTTGTATTGTGGCCTGAAGATATGTTAAATATCGACACATTACAATAGTGAATAATATTTGTGTGCACTGAGAATTCTCTTTTCAATATGAGTTTGATTTCTTTCTTATTTTGAATATAACTATCCCTATGGTTTAAACAACAACAACAACAACAACAACAAAACACACACAACATGCTTTATCTTCACTTTGTACATAGCATAGTATACATGAAGGTTCTGAAGAAGAACCGTAGTTCTTCTCAGTGAGCTTTCAGCTGCACAGTTTTAGTGATTTTTAAGAATTTGCACAAGATGACACAACATGGTTCCCCATTCCACTCTTCATCAGATATCAGAAGCAACTCTGATGACTGATATATAGTTGTACCATTAGATTTTCCTTTCTTTTTTTAAAAAAAAAAAAATTATTTATTTATTTATTTATTTATTTTACATCATTGTTCCCCCTTTTTTTTTTACAATGTTTCCTATTTTTGCTGAGGTGTAGTCCCCATAGAATTTCCACCCGTGCACCAATAATTCACCCGCACACCATCACCATAGTCCCTTGTGTTCATCCCTCTCTTGTTTTGATCCCTCTCATTTCCCCTCCCCTGAAGAATGACTCTAATTTATAGTTAGCTGTTTATTTTTGTTTTTGTTTTATTGTGTATTCCATTGTTATTATTTTTTGCCCCAATCCCTTATTTGGTTCCTCTATATTAGTCCTATTAGTGAAACCAGCCAATATTTTTCTTTTTCCTTTTGACTTACTTCACTGAGCATAATCCCTTCTAGCTCCATCCATGTTGCTGCAAATGGCATTAGTTTATCTTTTCTGATTGCTGAATAGTATTCCATCTTATACACAATAGTATTCCATCTTATACACAATAGTATTCCATCATATACACAACACCTTCTTGATCCAGTTGTCTATTTTTGGGCATTTGGGTTGTTTCCAAGTCTTACCTATTATTAATAGTGTTGCAGTAAACATGGGGGTGCAGGTATCCTTTTAAATGAAAGTTTTTGTGTCCTTTGGGTGGATCCCTAGGAATGGAATTGCTAGGTCATATGGTAGTTGCATTTTTAGCAGTCTGAGGAACCTCCACACAGCTTTCCATAGTGGTTGGATGAGTTTGCATTCCTACCAGCATTGTAGGAGAATTCCTTTTTCACCACATCCTCACCATCAATGTTGTTGTTGTTGTTTAATATATGCCATTATTACTGGGGTAAGTTGGTATCTCAATGTGGATTTAATTTTCTTTCCCCTGATTATGAGGGATGTTAAACATTTGTTCATATGCCTGTTGGCCATTTGCATTTCCTCTTTGGAGAAGTGTTTTTGAAGTTCTTCTGCCCATTTTTTGAACTGGATTGTTTACTTCGTTTTTGTTGAGTTATGTGAGTTCTTTGTATATCTTTGTGATGAATCCCTTATCAGCTGTATGGAGTGTAAAAATTT